CACTCTCGGCTCGTCGTCCTCCAGGAACGGGTCCTCCTGCTGCTGCTGCTGCTGCTGCTGCTGCTGCTGCTGCTCCTCTGGCTGCCGAGAGGCCCCCTGGGGGAGCTGCTCGCCCGTGTTCTGCGTCTGCCCCTCGGGCACCGTCGGCTCGTCCTGGCCCGCCAGCAGCATGACGGCGTCCGCCACGCCACACCAGTTGTCGAACGCGCGCTTGCGGGCCTGGCACGCCTGCGCGCTCCGGCCCGCCTGCGCGTGCGCCTCGCCCCACACGTCCCTCCGCCAGTGCTGGCTCGCGGGGATGCGGCGCTTGCTGCAGCCTCCTGGCAGCCACACGTAGCACCCCGCGCTCTGGGGCGCCGGCGGCGCCGCCCCGCCCAGCGTGGCGCTGGGGGCCTCCGAGGCTGCGGCGGGGGGCCCCGCTGGAGCTGTCGGAGGCGGCGTGCCCGACTCGGCCAGTGGCTCGATTTGCGCCTGCGTCTCAGGCTCCTGCCCGGCCGCTGTCGGCCTGACCTGCTCCTCCTTCGCGATCTCCGCCTCAGAGACGTAATCCTCGTAGGACAGCGCTGGCTGGGAAGCCTCCAGCGCCTCCTGCTCGTCGCCGCGCAGCCGGGCTGTCTCTGGCGGCATACGCGTCGGCGGCGAGTCCTCCGCCGCGTGCTGCGTCGCCAGCATCGGCAGCGTGACGGCGTCCTCCACGCCGCAGTAGCTGTCGAAGCTGTGCTTGCGGGCCCTGCACGCGGCAGCGCTCTCCCCTGCACGCGCGTTCCGCTCGCCCCACCAGTCCCTGCGCCAATGGAACTTCGCGTGGATCTTGTGGGCGCTGTTGCACCCACTGGGGAGCCACACGAAGCAGCCCGTGCCATTGGGGAGTGCCGGGGCCCCCTCGGGGAGCTGCTCGTGCTCGTCCCGCGCCTCGGACTGCTTCTCGGAAAATTCCGGCTCCGCTTGCTCGGCCGGCCTTTCGGCCACTCTCGGCTCGTCGTCCTCCAGGAACGGGTCCTCCTGCTGCTGCTGCTGCTGCTGCTGCTGCTGCTCCTCTGGCTGCCGAGGGGCCCCCTGGGGGAGCTGCTCGCCCGTGTTCTGCGTCTGCCCCTCGGGCACCGTCGGCTCGTCCTGGCCCGCCAGCAGCATGACGGCGTCCGCCACGCCGCACCAGTTGTCGAACGCGCGCTTGCGGGCCTGGCACGCCTGCGCGCTCCGGCCCGCCTGCGCGTGCGCCTCGCCCCACACGTCCCTCCGCCAGTGCTGGCTCGCGGGGATGCGGCGCTTGCTGCAGCCTCCTGGCAGCCACACGTAGCACCCCGCGCTCTGGGGCGCCGGCGGCGCCGCCCCGCCCAGCGTGGCGATGGGGGCCTGCGAGGCTGCGGCGGGGGGCCCCGCTGGAGCTGTCGGAGGCGGCGTGCCCGACTCGGCCAGTGGCTCGATTTGCGCCTGCGTCTCAGGCTCCTGCCCGGCCGCTGTCGGCCTGACCTGCTGCTCCTCCTTCGCGATCTCCGCCTCAGAGACGTAATCCTCGTAGGACAGCGCTGGCTGGGAAGCCTCCAGCGCTTCCTGCTCGTCGCCGCGCAGCCGGGCTGTCTCCGGCGGCATACGCGTCGGCGGCGAGTCCTCCGCCGCGGGCTGCGTCGCCTCCTCGCTCGCGGCGGCGGCCGTCTCCTCCAGCCTCCTCACGCGGCCGCTCAGGTCCCGCACCTCGTCCCTGATGGGCTCAAGGGCAGCAGAGATGTCTTCTTCGATTGCCCTCACGGCACCGGAGACGTCTTCAATGGCAGCAGAAATGTCGGGGAGCTTCTCGCCCGTGCTCTGCGTCTCGGACTGCCTGGCCGCTGTCGGCCCGACCTGCTCCTCCCTCGCGACCTCCGCCTCGGAGGCATAGTCCTCGTAGGACAGCGCCGGCTGGGAAGCCCCCGGCGCCTCCTGCTCGGCGCCGCGCTGCATGGCTCCAGGGCTGCGGGGCCGCGCAGAGGCCGCCGAGCCCGCCTCGGCCAGCGGCTTCAGCTCCGCCCGCGCCTCCCGCACGGGGGCCGGCGGCGCCCCCTCGCTCGGCACGCCGTCGGCCGCGCGCGCCCCGCGGGCGCGGGCCTCGCTGGAGCTCTCGAGGCCGTGGGGGAAGGCCTGGACCTCCTCGAACGTGGCTGCCGCGCTCAGGTTTGCGTGCCGCTGCGGGCTGCGCTCGATGCCCTCGTTCATCGCGAGCTGCACCTGGCCATTGCTCGGACGTCCATGCCCTGTGCTTTTTTCGGTGTCGTGCGTGGTTTTTTCTCGCCAAATCATCAAGGATGCTCCTCGCTGGTCCTCGCCGAAGGAAAAATGCACACGTCCGAGCGATGCCAAGCCACCTGCTCGTGGCACGGGTCGCCCCAGACCGCCGCGCGGCACGGCGCGGGCGCCTCGGGCGCCGCCGGCCGCATGAGGGCGCCCGCGGGCACGCCCCAGAGCAGGGCGGCGAGGGCGAGGGGGGCCGTCGGCAACATGGTGCCGGCGCGGTCTGTTGCGGTTCTCGGAATCAGGGCAGCTCTTGCACAGCGGCTGGAGCCAGAATGGCTACGGAGGAGGAGGAGGAGGAGGAGGAGGAGGAGGAGGAGGAGGAGGCCAAGTGTGGCCTTGCCTGTCTCGCTGGCAGGAGCGCTGCCTGGTGTGTGCCCCTGAGCGTGCCGGCTCCTCGTGGCCGGGGCGCCGCTGCCTCGCGCGTGCATCGCGTGGTGCTGAGCTCTCCCGAGCGTGCCGGTGGCAGCGCAAGACGCTGGTGCTGCGACAGGGCGCTATCTTCTGCCAGCGCGGTGCAACGCTATGCTAGGATATGGTTTCAGTCAGGCGGGCTGCACGCGGATTGGGAGGGAAGGCCGAGGCAGTGAAGCGGCCAGAGAGAGAGAGAGAGAGAAGGAGAGACACAGGGAGGGAAACTGCACACGGGTACACCCACTGAGATTTACAAACGGCACTCGCACCAGTACGCCGAGCGAAAGCATGAACACACGAAGGAATAGAGAGAGAGAGAGGGGGGCGGCAGATGGGGAGACCAAAACAAGCTAATCTAAGTCAAAACTCGCACCCGCACGAATACCCCACGCAAGCCGAACGTGTAAATTTCTAGACCAACGTAGCATGACTTGGCAGAGGAGCTGCGCCAAGCGTGCGAGCGTACAGTGCCTAGGCTATGTTAGGCTCTGCTAATGCTCTTCTCTGTTGTGTTGTGCAATGCTTGGCAATGTAACGTCATGCAATGCCATGCCACGCGATGCTAAACTGGGCACCGTTTGACGGTAAGACGTGAAGGACTCTCACATGCTATGTTACGCCAGGCTATGCCACACGACGCGACATCATACTGTTGAGTGCTATACAATTGCGCTGTGTCATGAAATGATTGGCGTTGCTAGGCTACGTGCTGCTATGGAATACGCTGCTGGGCTGCACTGTGAGTTTTCACTGCATGGCGCATCCTTGCTATGCACCCCGTGGCGTTACACACGTGCGTGCCTCCACCGCAACGAATTTCCCTCACGGGGGGGCATGCCGGGCTAACACTAATATTGCTGAGTTATCCTGGGGAACTGCCAGGCACGGAGTACATACCAGGTGCGATGTCACGGCTTCTACGTCAGACTCAGGGGAAGGACGTGCAGATGGATATTCGCCCAATCTTGATCAAGGTAACCGATCACACATTCTGTATACGATACTTTCTTTCAGCTGGCGAGTAGCCACACATTTCAGCATTCAGGCGGCTGCTGCGGTAGGCCACAGCTACACAACGTGGTGCTGAGGTAGGGGAAGAGGCGCGATGGCTTTGCGAGATCGCGAATCACATGGTGACGACTGGGACGCAAGGTGCAGAGCAGCACTGACTGACGCGGGGGCCAGGGAGGCGCGCCGCGCCTGGCACTCGGCGCACATGCCCATCTCCACCCACGTCCGGCGGTGGTTCTGCCTGCAGGGGGGCCCCATGGCGGTTTTATGCAGTGCCCCGCGCTCCCCGAGCGAGGGGCGAGGATCTCCTGCCTCTCCTCCTCCTTCTCCTCCTCCTCCTCCTCCTCTTCTCTCCTCTCCTCCTCTCCTCCTTTTCCTCCATCCTCTCCTCCTCCTCCTCCGCTCCGCCTCCGCCTTCCTCCCTCTCTTTTTTCCTCTCCTCCTCCTCCTCCTTTTCCTCCTCCTCCTCTTTTTTCCTCCTCCTCCTCCTTTTCCTCCTCCTCCTCCTCCTCCTCAAATCGGCGGCGAGCACGGGGGGGGGCAGTGAGAAGGGGCGGGCCTTCTCAGAGGACTCGGAGGTCCCACGGCCTGCCGGAGAGTTCCCCAAGCCTTCCCCAAGGGACGGAAAGCACTCCTCCGAGGGCGCGGGGGCCTCGGAGGAGTCCCGCCGCCGTCTGAGAAGGCCTTCTCCTTCTCACCTTGCCCCCCTCGCTCGCCGCCGATTTGAGGAGGTGGAAAAGGCAGGAGGAGGAGGAGGAGGAGGAGGAGGAGGAGGGGAGGGAGGAGGAGGAGGAGGAGGGGAGGAGGAGGGGAGGGGAGGGGCAGGAGGAGGGCGATCAAAGTCGCCCTTGGGGCCACTGGGCTCATCGTGGGATGCGAACTGGCGAGGATCTCGAGACGAACCCCGCCGTGGCGGCGAGGACTCTCCGGGGAGGCCTGTCAGGGATAGGAGGAGGAGGAGGAGGAGGAGGAGGAGGAGGAGGAGGAGGAGGAGGAGAGGAGGAGGAGGAGGAGGAGGAGGAGGAGGAGGAGGAGGAGGAGGAGGAGGAGGAGGAGGAGGAGGAGGAGGAGGAGGAGGAGGAGGAGGAGGAGGAGGAGGAGGAGGAGGAGGGAGGAGGGAGGAGGGAGGAGGGAGGAGGGAGGAGGGAGGAGGGAGGAGGGAGGAGGGAGGAGGGAGGAGGGAGGAGGGAGGAGGGAGAAGGAGGAGGAGGAGGAGGAGGAGGAGGAGGAGGAAGTGTCGGGCATGTCCTCCCACAGGCGGATCTTGGAGGACAAAAGAAACCGTGTCAACACATATTCAGAAATAGTCAAAAGAGCACGAAGCATCTGCACCAGACAATATCTCTTACTACTCTTGAGTGTTCCCCTCTGCGGAGGGACCTGTCCGACTGAAGACAAGGGCTTCGACTACCCTCTCTCCTCCCGCCCCTCCGCCAGGCCTGCGGCCCCTGGCGTGCATCCTGTCGAAGCAGCCCTGGCAGAAGAAGTCCTTGCACTGGTCGCAGAAGAGGACGGCGTCTCTCTCGTTGCACTCGAGAGCCGGTCTTTATGTCACTACAGTCAACCTGTATCATAAGGACGCACGGCAAGGATGCGAGGGCCTTGGAGGGCCATTTCGAGGCTTTTCGAGCGCGACTCGGCCAACGAAAGTGGCCAACGATGGACCGAGGAGGCAAGAATGCAAGGGTACCCTTGGGAAAGGTGCCCTTCCTTACTATGCGGGTCGACTTTATTACCTGTCGCTTTGGCTGCGCGCGAGATCATACCCTCGACGTCGGCGGCATTCAAGGAAGCGGAAGCAAGTACCGACAGGGCTCTGGCCCCATCTGGGGGGCCCGAATCCCGCCAACATCGGCGCGCTCCCCCCGAAATGCAGACTCCGCCATTCCAGCGACGATGGATTCGGCCGAAATGTCAGGCGACGAACATGATTCCGCACGCCGCCATCCAAAGGGTAGCCAAGGCTACGCTAACGGCGATGTTGCTTCACGGTGCTGTTGGGAATCATGTTGTTGGAAATTACGAACCACACTTTCCGACATGTCCAATCTGCTAACGTGTCGAGCGAAAACGACACAGCGAATTGTTACAATTCGCTGTATCGTTTTCCTACAATTAAATTATAGGAAAGCGCGAGGCACGCATTCCCAATCCGAAACCTACATCGCCATTATCTACGTCGCCGTTAGCGTGCCGACGCGGTAGGGGGGGCACCCATGTCATCCGACATCGCTTCCAATTCCCCAGTTCGGCTTGCCTGCGGGAATCTTAATTGGTTAAAAGTTGGTGCCTTGTATTCTTACGTTGCCCGTTGCTCGCAAATTCCCCAGGTTCCTCAGGGTCCCCGGGTTCCTCGCCCTCGGCCGCCTCCGATGCTTACGTTGCCCGTTGCTCGGAGGTTCCCCGGGTTCCCCGGGCTCCTCGGCTTCCCCGGATTCCCCGGGTTCCCCAGGTTCCTCGGGTTTCCTGGGTTCCCCGGGTTCCCTGGGTTCTTCGGGTTTCCCAAGTTTCAGGGATTCCCGGTTCCCCAGGTTCCCGAGGTTCCTCGGGTTCTCCGGGTTCCCCGCTAACAGTGCTTCGTATCCTTACTGTGCCCATTCCAAGCAGTGTCAAGCAATGCCAAGCAATGCGAAGCAATGCCAAGCAATGTCAAGCAATGCTAAGCAATGCCAAGCAACGCCAAGCAATGCCAAGCAATGCCAACCACTGCCAAGCAATGCCAAGCCATGCCAAGCAATGCCAAGCTCTGCGCCCACGCAATGGGAACTTTCCCCTAATTGGGGTCGCGCCAGGCTCATTTTCTGCGAAGCACGGTGCCATGACATCCCCAGATGCCTTCCCTGCCTGCTGCCTCCTCTGTCCCACCTTCCGCCATCCTCCTCTGAGCAAGGACCGACCGTCCCAGCATTCCTGTAGGCCTACCACGACATGCTCTAGAACAAACGAATGCTCTGACTACGAAACCCACGTTCTTAGAACATGCAAGCGACGTACTCAAACAATCCGGTCTGAGCCAGAACTGTCCTAAGAACGTTTCGTGCGAACCACAACAGGTTCTTAGAACATGTTTGGTGGGCCTATGGGCAACCCTGGACGCGTCGCCACTGCTTGACTCCTGTCTCTCCCGCCTCCTCTCCTGTCGGCTGGCGTCGCGTGCAATCCATGTCTCTGGGCTCTAGGCCCCGGTGCGCAGTCTCTCAAGGGCTTCTCGTTTCTGTTTCTCTTCCGTGCGAGGGCGCCCTCCTGCGAAGGACGGAGGCGGGCAAGGGGAGCAAGGAACGTGAGGAGGAGACACCGTGTATGGGGAGGGGGGCCGAGGATAGTAGTAGGAGCTGGACAAGGAGGGTGAGGAGGACACGGTTGCCGCTGCGAAGGGGCAAACTATTTGGGAGGACAGCGGCTGGCAGGAGAAAGTAGGAGGGAGAACGACGAGGTGGAGGAGGGGTGAAAGATTGGCAGGGACGGGCAGAAGAGGAGGGAAGGGAACATCAGCATGAGAGGGCGATGGAGCAAGAGGTGGTGTGGAGATGGCGGAACACGAGAAGAGGGCTGCGGAGAGCAGGGACGGGCTGAGAGGCAAGGGAACCAGAACGGGCAATGAGGGTATATATGATCCCGGGCTCCGGGCCCAGTGGCCCCCCCCCCCCTCCCCTCCCAGATGGTATGGTCCCAGGATTTCTCGGCCCCCCCCCCCCAGATGGTATGGTCCCAGAGACGACGACGACGGCGACGACAACGACGACGACGACGACGGCGACGACGACGACGACGACGACCACGACGACGACGATGACGAAGATGACGACGGCGACGGCGACGACGACGACGACGACGACGACGAGGACGACGAGGACGACGAGGACGACGACGACGACGACCACGACGACGACGACGACCTCTGAACCACCACAGCACCACACCACATCCACAGGGGGGGGAGGGGGGCTCCGCAGCGCAGCACCACGCCACGCCCACAGGGGGGGGGCGGGGGGGACCATCGCGCGGGGGGGGCCCAATGGCATCAGCATTGGGGGGGAGGGGGGGGGCACAAGCCCTGGACTATATATCTGGGGGCGCACGTGACAGAAATCCCACCAGCCCTCTGGGCGTCGGTGGTTTAGGGAGTTTCCTCTTCCACCCCTCCTTCTTCCCCTTCGGGGAGGGGTTCACCCCTCCCCCTACCCCCTCCCCTGAACCTGGACAAGGGGTTTCGCGAGGTGTCGGAGCGTCCAAAACGGCCTCGGCGAGGAAGCCGATATCATTGGTTTTACTTGGGTTTTGGCCCCATGTTGGCCTCTTGAGGGGGGGGCCCTAATTAGACCCCCCCCCTCCTGTGATCGATCTCACCCAAGATGGCCCAAAGATGGCCGCCAAGGCTCCCAAGGGTGCCCCAAGAGGGCCCCAAGAGGTGGCCAGGAAGCCCCAAGAGGCCGCCAGGATGCCCCCAAGAGGCTTCCAAGAGACCCCAAGAGGCCCCCAAAGACCCCCCATATGCACCCAAGATGCTCCAAGAGGCCTCGGCGAGAACGCCAAATCATTGATGTTACTAAGGTTATCGCCACATGTTGGCCCCTTGGGGGGGGGGGACACTGATTAAGATGACTCCAGGAGCGCCTGGGAGAGCCCAAGATGACCTCCAAGACGGCTCAAGATACCCCAAGATGTCTCATAATGGCTCCCACGATGCTCCAAAATGCCCAAGACCGCTCCAAGGCGGCTCCCAGCGGCCAAAGAGCTCCCCCAGGAGGCCCCGAAGAGGTCCAAACCTTAGGAATTTCTATGTGTTTGGCTTTCTCGCCTTTTCGCTTCCGATGGCCATCCGAGGCCTCAAGATGGCTCCAAGATGGCCCAAGAGGGCTCCAAGAGAGGCTCCAGAGAGCCCCACGACGGCCCCAAGAGCGCCTAAGAGCGCTCCAAGAGCGCCCCAAGAGCGCCCGGAGAGGCGATTGTTTGGGCTCCCGAGGGGCAACGTTAACTAATGCTCGCTTCTTGTTTGATCGATGTCCCCCAAGATGGCCCCAATAGCGCTCCCGAGGCGCCCAAGAGCGCTTCAAGAGGGCACCACGAGGCGCCCAGGAGCCCCCAACAGGCGCCCACGAGGCCTCCAAGATGCTCCCAAGAGACCCCCAAGAGGCCCCGAGAAGCTCTCCGAGGCACCCAAGACGCTTCAAGGGGCCTCCACTGGGGGAACCTTCCTCTGTGTGCTGCCCACTTCCCTGATCGAGGCAATTCCTCTGGGCATCGTTTCTGGATGGGCTGGTGGGGTTGCGCGAAGCGTCTAGAATTCCATGCGCCCCATCTTGCCCGCCCCTCTCCTTCCTCACTCTGCTGCGAATCCTCTGCGGAGCTTGCCACGGACGACCGTGGAAAGAGCGCCGCGTCATATATTCCAACGACAGCGGCTGCGAGCGAGCGAAGGCCGTGCTTCGACCAGGAGCTGGCACAGCAGATGTCGCGACCGCACTGAGCAGATGAGCTTTTTTTGTTGTTCTGATTATTTGTTTATGTATTTATTTTCTACCGAGCAGATGGGAGCTTGAACGTGAGATCGTATGAGGCGGCCAGAATTTCAGAGGCACGTATTAAGCATCAATGCCGAGATGAAGTGTGGAGGAGCCACCAATGCGGTCCAAGGCATTGGTTGTCGCAGCAGTCAGGGGGGGCACTGGATACAACCCTAAACGATCGACACCGAAGCGCCTGCGCTTCACGGTGGCGGGACATTTGCACGTTGGCTACCAGGATCTTTCAAGTTTGCAACATCTCCCGCAGAAAGCTGTACCACATTGGAATTCGTCAGGCTCCTCAAGGGCCCCCCGGCCCGTGCGATCTCTCGCTTCCTCTGAAGCCTTCGCCCCCACCCCCTCCCCCCAAATCCCAATAGAAGGCTCCTGCCGCTTTCCTTTGACCTGTTCTCGTATTCCTTTTAGCACGGCAATCGATTGGGTTTCGTTTGCCTTTGCCACTGCGCTTTTCGCTGTTCGCTCGTCGCTAGTACGCATTTAACGCACTTTCAACTTATCGTCCTGCTTGTTGACAAAACGCTTTCAGCTTGCAATGCTGCCGTCAACTGGCATGCCGATTGCTTCTGGCTTGCTTGGTGCTTGCAATTTTGCTGGCAGTTGGCTGCCATGCGGTGACCGGTGAGAGAGCCTGATTCGAGTCTTCTGTGTCCTACAAATCTGGCTTGCCTGCACACGCTTATTCTCTGGATTCGACTTGCCAATGGGAGTTCTGGCTCCGGCTTGTTCGCTGGCTGGTCTCATGGCCCATGTTTCGCCCCAGCTATCCGATTGGCTCCCCAACTATTCGAATCGCTCCCAGGACAATCCACTCGACTCTCGGCAATAGGCTTGCTTGCGTGCTTGTGCTTGCAATCGTACGGTCGCTTGCTTGCTTGATTGCTGGTGCTTGCTGGTGCGAGCTTGCCTGCAGGCTTGATCACTTCCTTGTGGCTCCGCCCGTGCATGCGATTCCTTGTTGCCTTGTTTTTTTGGCGTGCGAGTACGCACGCTTGCTTGCTCGCAAGCTTGACTGCTTGCGTGCTTGTGCGTGTGTGGTCGTGCATTGCGCGCTCATTATGTGGGCGTTTTCTTATTCGGCGTTTCGACATTGGGCGGAAGGGGGGGGGAAGGGGGGGGTCTGGCTCCGACCTCTGCTTGGTGCGACTGTTTGCAGCAGGGCGTCCATCATGGGGGAGACCCCATCTGCCTGAAACAGGCGCCAAAAACAGTCAAGATTTACTCCATGGGGGGGGAAAGGGGGGTGCGAGGGCCCACGCCGATCGGCAAAAGACTGAATACGAAAACGAACACTACTTTTCTCCGCCATCCACGACCGGGCCGCAAGGTGCGGCCTCCCTGCGGAGCCGGCCCGCGCGCGCTCCGGCTTAGGTTTCGCCCGCCTGACTTGACCCGCTCCGCCTCGTCGCCGCGCGAGAGGACGCGACCGCCCAAGGAAGTGGTCGTGCATGCTTGCTGCCCTGCTTGCATGCATGCGTGCTTCCTACCTTTCGCGAGTGTGCTTGCGTGCTTGCAGGCGGGCTGGTTGCGAACAATTGCAGTACATGCTTGCCAGCTTCATTGTCAGCTTCATTTGGGTGTTGCATGTGTGCTTGCCTGCTTGCGCGATGTTTTGGATGCTTGCATATTTGTCTGCTTGTCTGATTGCTTCCTTGGTAGTGTCCGCACGCGCGCGCTTGCACGCTTGCATGCTTCCCCTCTTGCATGCATGTTTGCTTTCGTGAATGCGTGCGTGCATACGTGCTTATATGTTTGCCTGGATGCACCGTTGCGTGCGACAGTGCAGGGCGAGGGCAGGGTGAGAAGGGGCGGGGCGGGGCATGGCATAGCAGGGCACGGGCAGGGGCAGAGTAAGGCAGAGAAGGGCAACGCAGGACAGGGCAGCGCAGAGTAGAGCCAAGCTAGGCATCACGGGGCAGATCAACGCAGCGGCAGCGTCAAGGCATGGCGGAGGCAGCAAAAGGCATGGCAGATGCAAGACCAAGAGGCAAGGACAGGCACGGCAAAAGCAGGGCGGGGCAAGGCTCGGCGCAAAGAAGGCATGCCAGGGAAGGGACAGCACGACTCCTCTTCCTCATCCTTCACCTCCTCCTCACACATGGCCCAGCTACGCGTCTCGTCCCCTCTGGTGGGTACGATAATCTAGCTTGCCTTTGGCGTTTACATGAGAAACTCCGGAAGCTGGGAACCAAGATGACCGACTTGGATGGCTTCGTGGGGTGGGGTCCGTGCTCTCGTACCGCGCAGAAGTACAAAGAATGCGTAGGAGAGGAGGGAGTGGAGAGGGGACGGTACGAAGGCGACAAGAGATGGGATAACAGGCTTAGGACAAGATGCGAGCAGAAGGGGATACGTAGATCTGGACTTACGGCATGATTGATGGCACGTGTCGTGAAGATGAGTTTCTCAGAGTGCCCCGCTTGCATCAACATGTATTGGGAACTATAGGCGGGTATTTCATTGCCGATGTAAGTCGAGCCTGTCCTAATCACCTCCAATGGCGACAGATTTGCAACCACCTACTGTACTCCTGGCATTTGAACACGCGGAGTGGCTGGAAGCAGTGCCGCGCACATGTGCCTCATCATGAATGGCGAAAATGACCTTGGGCAAGTGAACCACATATCACAGTCATGCACAGAACAATTCAAAAGACCAAACTCCTGCACACACAGCTTCATCACTTCGATCCGCCTTGCCTCTTCTTCCCTGGCGAGCTCAAAGGTGCCGACCAAGTCGCGGTATCGCTGCATCAGGTTGCGGAAGTCCTGGCATCACGAACAGCATGAACTACAC